AAGTTTGTAGATTCTTGCATGTAAATGGGAACACAAATCTGACAATGTGTCAAAGTTAATTATATTCAGTGTTTGTATAGATGTTGGCTGATATAGAAACAGAGAACAAATTTGTCATTATGTGTCAAAGTCGACAGGTGCACTAATTATTGCTTGACAATTATTTTTACTTTTCGGCACTCAGTGCGGATAAGGCCCGTATCCGCACTGAGTGCGGAAAAGTGAAACTTTGAGAACTGTAATGCGTGCGGAAAAATACTACTTTGCGCACGCTCGTAGGAAAAGAATTTATCAACATTCTCATTAAACTATCTTACATCATTCAATCAGAATCCGAATTTTCTTCACTATCTGATGAAATATTCTGTGAAGTATTTTTGACCTAATACAGTGTCGTTGCCTTGACTAATTAGACTGTGAGATATAGGGGCTGTTTAGTGGAGTCATTTTTTTTTGTCTGGCATTTTGAGAGATGAATGTGGCTAGTAAGCTGATGAGAATATAGGTGGTTTTAATGCCTGCCCCCTGTTCGAAATGTCCACAGAATGTTTTGCCGGAAAACTCGACTTCGAACTGTGATTACCGTCTGGCGATTTTTCAGCGTTATTTTTACAACAAAACCTTCCATTGTCTCGATTACCAGACAAAAAGTAAACACTGAAGGTTCTTTTTTTTCTCTTGGCAGGTTGGCACGCATCCCCACTTTTTCAGCTATTGAAAAGCATCTGGTATTTTTTATGGGTGAATTATTTATCAATGTCAATCTTTTATTTAGAAGCCAAAAAATTTGAGATCATTAAAAAAAAAATCTTCATATACATCAATTTTTTTCTTCTGCAAATTTTCGAACGGGAGGCAGGCATTAAAATCACCCATATTCTCATCAGCTTAGTAGCCATATTCAACCCTCAAAATGCCAGACAAAAAAAATGACTCCACTAAACAGCCCCTATCTCACAGTCTAAATGTTCATACGGACCTTCGTACATTCAATGAATTTCTGTCGGGATTTTTGATGAGATTCAAACAAGTTTTTTTGACAAAAAAGCGCACATCTGATATTTGATATTTTCAGCCTCATAGCTAACAATTTCTATTTTAGAGAGTTTTAATTTAATCTTCAACTCTAGTTCACTGTCTGAACTAGTACTGCTCAAATCCATCGCGTCTTGCCTCTAGAAAAATATCATACCTATGTAAATTTACCTCAATTCGTCAAAAATGATTACCTATATTGAAGAGATATATAATAGAAATACCTACTTACAAAATATAGTATGTAAGTATACCTTCTTACAAAAAAGAGACAATATAGGGTACCCCGAATTAATTCAACACTATTACAATAGTATATTATGCAATGATCATGTAATGATAGCCATTAATACACGAGCATGTTGTAGGATACGAAACGAGCCGCAGGCGAGTTTCGTATATAACATGCGAGTGTATTAATGACCATTACATGAGAGTTGCATACACTATTTTTTCTACTGTCATTGATAAAAATTATGATATCTAGATATGTCAACATTATGCTTAACTTTGAATAGAGATTTTATAATTGAGTAATCCATACAGTTGAAGGTTTAATTTTTTGTTGTAATTCTTCAAAATATACTATCAAAACATTTTCTGAGAAGGACGAATGTGTTTTTGGTGTTTCCAATTCATAAATTGTCCATATAATTTTTCGTAAATTTTCTTGGACTTGTCCGGTAGTATATTATTACCTGCATTTGTCGCCTTTTCTGTAATTTCTGTGGGTGTTAGTGAAAATTCCTCGTTATCACTCAATATTTCCATAATAATGCCTTATCCCAAACATTAGGTAGGTAACTTTTAATAACAATTCGAAGTATTTTTTTCATGAAATTATTGTTTTCCGCTAAATTACCATGGAAAAGCTATAACAGAGTGCTGTCATCATTCAAAAAAAAATAATTCAAAATTTCTTAACTGGTGGCGCCATCTATTGACAATGTATAATAATTAAAAAAGTAAAAATTCTTCCTTATCACTCATTATTTCTATAATAATTATTCATTGTCCCAAACTTTAGGTAACTTTTAAACAATTCGAAGTCTTTTTTATAGTTATCAAAATAATTGTTTTACGCAAAATTACTGTTAAAAATGTTCAATATCTTAACTAGTGCTGCCATCTATCAACATTGTATAATATTAAAAATGAGTATTATAATGAAAATCTGTATCGTAATGAAGTTCATTATAATATAGATTTTAATCGTTTAATAGCGTATTATGAAATGTCAGTAGAAAAAAGTTATTAATTACTAACTCCGTTATTATTGGAGCTACAAATTAAGAACAAGTTGTATGCAAATTTAAATCCAGTCAATAGTTTACACCAAAAAGTCATAAACGGTAGATATCTAATGCAGTTTTGGTATCAATTTAACCAAAAATAATGTTTTGATTGAAGCTGTTTATTTATAATAGAGCGCAAACGAAAAGCAACCATCTAGGTATGAAAATACGGACCGTGTATCACATAGAATCAATCGCATGCCAAGGGAATTTCAACCATCCTCGCATCTCTGCGTCCTAGCGCGGTCGCCACGACACGCTTTTACATTTTACAGGTTTTTGACAAAACGACTTATCGGATTTTTGATTATAAAAAAGCATTTTAATCCCTGATCTTTGATGTACAGCGTTTATAGAAAGTGTTTTTTTTGATTAGAATAAGCATTTTTGAGTTATCTATGTGTGAATGATGTTGCAATTTTGATGTTTTCAGTGCGAGCTGTTTTATATTAAGGTACTCCATATAAATGCGTGTTGTACAAACATTTCAAAATTCGAAATAAAATACTTCTACTTGCAATTTTGAAATAAAACTTTTGCAGATTATTGAACACGTAGTGTAGATTCGAAAAATGAAAAAAAAAAAAAAAATTGCAATTTTTTGGAAAACTAGGTACCCCAAACTACCCCCCTGCACCCCACGATGTTTTGACGACCAATCGATTTTGCTTTCTTAAGGCGTAAGGAACGATATAAGATAGGTTTTACATTTTAGCAATAGAGTTCCGACGGAATGACACGATAAAATCATTTTTAAACTCCACTATATGTTAAATTGCCTTTTTCCATTGAAAAGCCCCGGAAAAGTGAAAAATTCGAGGAAAAACTGGCAAAAAATTACAAGGCGTCACTTCAAAATGGCCAACTAAAAGCAACGTTGCCACATCTCATTTCGGAAAACATAAATAACATTTTTAAAGGGTTTTTTGTTTAAAATTCAATTTAATAATTAATTAATAATGATTATAATAATTAAAATTCCCCAAATAAATCATAGGAAACTTGTTTTTAGTTTAATTTTAATGAAAATGACATTACAAGGTTTCCTTATTGATTATAGTGAGTAAGACAAAGACAATGATAAAGTAGTATATGTTTGCAAAAACCACCATTTTCTGAAAAAAGTAAAAATTTTAAGAAAACCAACATTCCAAAGCCAATTTGATAAAACTAAAGTTTTTGAATATTCCCGACTCTTTGATCGGACGCTAAAAATCACATTTTAAATACTCCCGGTTTTTGATTGGCTCCAAATTATCCGCTGACCAATAGAATTATAAACTAGGCCCCGTGATTAAAATAACTCTAGCTCTTCGAGCTCGCGTATAACTCTAGCCCTTCGGGATCGTATTACTCCGGCCCTTCGGGCTCGCATATAACTCCGGCCCTTCGGGCTCGCATATAACTCCGGCCCTTCGGGCTCGCATATAACTCCGGCCCTTCGGACTCGCATATAACTCCGGCCCTTCGGGCCGGTATTACTGAGTATCCCAGATTCACAGATATTTGTCGTGGAGGCGCGGGATTGATTGAAATAATGTTGTCAGACTTTTCTAAATTACATTGAAATATCGAAAATTGGAAAGTGTAATTTATTGATTATTATTTTAATTAGAAATCAGGAATAAAAAATTGAGATTGAATTTTCAATTTTTTGGGGGAGGTTTAGCCTCCCCTGCCTCCTCTGACGAGCCACCACTGGAGATTTTCGCCTGGAACCTAGGACAGGTATTTCTCTCCGAAGCTTATATGGTATCTCTAATCCGTTAAATGTACGATTCGAAAACTGATGCTTATGTAGTTTCAGGTGGTGTCCGTTCATTTGCTTGGGTCACCGAAGTTTGTTTTACCGCTTTATTGCTATTTAATATTTGCCGTTAACGTTGACGTTACCCGAACTTTTAGAGCTACCGGAAGGCTGACCATTCTGTTATCGATACTGTTAACTTTTCCGGATACGCTTTTCCCCCGAAGGGCCGGAGTTATACGCGAGCCCGAAGAGCTAGAGTTATTATAATCACGGAGCCTAGTCTATAATTCTATTGGTCAGCGGATAATTTGGAGTCGATCAAAAATCGGGAAATCTAGAATCTCACATGCTTCACTGAAATCTAGCATTCAAATGGACCGCGGATCTGAACGTCCAATAGAAATGCCAGAAACATATCGAACCACTACTGGGGTTCAGCGACCATAGTCTCGACGAGCGGCTAGCCGCACGCATAATTGAAAACTGTCATCCTTGCTTTTTTTATCTCTGTTTTATGCATTAAGAGTTCCATGTTACTTTTCTAGTCGGAAGTTGTAGGATTATAGTTGATTTTTTGCCTACTGCGCAGTGGTTACCTTACCGTAATTCATTATTTTTTAGCATCCGCACTTGAAATAGTCACGAGCCGCCACTGTAAATGACGTTAAAGCTCCTAATGAAAAACTCCAGGCACAAAAACGTTCCAATCAAATGGAAACCATAGCGTTGGGCAAAATTGGAAGTGGTTTTGATTTTTTTTTTGTTCACCTCAGTTCTGGGGTAGTTTAGAAAAAAAGGTGTGGTACGAAGTTCCTAAGTTCATCTAGTGTAAATTAAACAGAAAAATTGACGTGTTTTGTCAATAAGGGTAACTCACACCGATCTAAACTAATTAATAATACAATTCACAAAATAATTACCTTCACTATACAAGGAGGCGGCAAGTCAATATTCATATGAGTATCACTGCCGGCCAATAGCGTAGCAGCCAGCTGCGAAGCCCGAGCGAAATCCAAAAAAGTATCCTTTTTACTCAACAAATAACCTCCGGTCAAAAAATCTTGTGTAGCTGCAATCAATAGCTCCCCATTCCTTGGAGTAACCAAATTACTTTTGTTCTAAAAAAAAAACAGTTTTGAAATAAGAAAATTTAATATTTAAACCAAAACTAACCCCCATAAGAATCAAAGCTTCAGCTTTTGCTTCTTCAGTTTGCGGCAAGTGCAAATTCATCTCATCTCCATCAAAATCGGCATTGTACGGATTACAAACGCACTCGTTGAATCTTAAAGTCCTATGTTGATGGACTTTAGCTCTGTGAGCCATTATGGAAAGCTTATGTAAACTTGGTTGTCGGTTGAACAAAACAATGTCGTCATTGTGCAAGTGCCGCTCAACCAAATCTCCCAACCGTAATTCTTGCGCTAACTTCTCTCTGTTGCCATATCTCAAAAACTTCTTAAATGCTGAGCCTTTTTGCTGGACATAATTGGCTCCCGGCCATTTGTCTGGACCATTAACAATCAACTGTCTCATAAGATTAATGTTGGCATAAATAACCCTTTCAGGAAATGTGAGAATTTTGGCAATTTGCACGGGAACCCCTACTTGATCAATTTCCAAATTAGGATCAGGTGAAATTACAGTTCTAGAAGAAAAATCCACTCGTTTGCCTGATAGATTTCCACGAAAACGGCCTTGTTTGCCTTTGAGTCTTTGCACTAAACCTCTGCCAGGTTTTTTGGGCATCATATTCATAGGCACCCCTGAGAGTTCACTGTTTATATACAAGGCTGTTTGCAATTGCAAAAAATCCCAGCCTTCTTGGTACATGTTAACTGAAGCCCCAGACAATTTGTGTTTTTTAATTACGTCATTTATAAAAATTATTTCTGATTGTTTCATTGTTAAGTCGTCTTCATTTGTGCCTGCCTTAATGTCAGATACTACTGATGGTCGTATGGTAACAGGAGGCACAAGCATTCTAGTGAAAATAAGGTCTTTTGGTTGCGATTTTTCAGCGTCCATTGCAAGTAATGGAATATCACTTTCGGGTATTCTTTTGAATAGTTTTAAGACATCAATGGGTGTTAGTATATGGGATACACTGTTGCCTAAAGCTGATTGAATTTCGGGATTGCCTTCAATAGCTAAATGAAATTCCTGTGAAAGTTTTTCCATCAATTTGTCTTTGTCTTTTACACGATAGACTTCATGGACAATTTTCAGTACTGTATTATTTGTGCTGCCTTTAGCTGCAGTCATTTTTTTAACAAAACCATTAGTCGATTTACAATATGGACATTTGACAATTTTTTTGCACTTGTCTACAATCTTTTTTCTAATACTTTTCTTGGTCATGTAACTCAAGTTAGGATTAGACAGTTTCAGCCTGTATTGGTTCTTATCAGATTCTTCTAGTAATACATGAGCGCACTTTTTACAAATGCTTTGTAGCAAGTTTATAATGCTTCGAAAATAGCCCACATGGAAAACTGGTAGCTCCAAATCTATGTAGCCAAAATGTCCGACGCAATCGTTTAAGTTTTTGCCGCAAGTCTGACAAGGAGAGTCTTTAGCGTTTGTGCCCTGTGAAATTTTTTAGTAGAAATTAAAACATTGTTGTAAAGGGTACTTACCAATCTTCTGTCAAGTACTCCATAAGGCACAGGAGTACGACTTACGTCTTGGTTGTAGAGGTTTTTGGCCACTACGTGGATGTGGGATTGCTGTTGCATGGTCTCGGCACTTTCCACACCGAAACTCAAGTGAGATCTTTTAGGGAAGAATGGGAATTATAGTCAAAATAGGTCACTTTTATATTTTTCAAAATAACTATTTATTAAAACGCAGACTAGGAATGTGACGTCAGAGTCCCAAAAATGCGAGAATGTCGAATTTTTCATTTGTAGGTAAAGGTTAATGATTCCGAAACATGACTGCTTCGAATTAGAGTCGCAATTCATAACATCAAGTTACAATAAGCTCTGTTGTATGTTGTATCCCTTTCTATTATTAACAATTAGATAAAGACAAATGTACTAAAAATAAAACTCGTTAATTTCACAGGTCACTGCCTGAACCATTTGCGTCCTTTATTATGTTATAAAAAAATAAGGGATAGGTATAATATATCAACTCTTGTTACCTAGTACAATGAACCTGGATGTTTGTCTCCATGTTGCCGTATATTTCTTAAAATCTCTATTTCTAGCAATCAGGATGATGTTAATTTCTATGAGTTTAAAAAAAATCTTGCAAAAAACAAGGAATAGGTAAAAACGTAGGATCCATGTTGACAGTCGTTCAAAGGTTTCGTGCACGTGACCTCATTAAATTGACACTGGAGGTAAGACAATCTAACCTTATCCCATTAGCATTGTTTTTATATCCTACAAAGGTATTTTGACCCTAGTCTACACATACTCTCCTAGGAAGTGAATTTTTCAATTAGTAACAATTTTCCGAAGAATTAGGAGAGCTAGACGGCGAAATTTCGAAAATACATTAATTTTTTAGGTTATGTTACCTCCAACGTGCCGCACGCAGATCAGTAAATTCATCTTGTAGACTGTTGTTAATATATGAATGAAAAGACCTGCAATAAAATTCTATTTTGATACGTAAAACAGTTGTGGCAACACTGCACAATTAGTTCCTAAAAGTCCAGCGTCAGATGGAGCATCTATACTGACGTCACAAGGGTATGAGGTTTGACAAATCTAGTTGAACGAAACCAGGTTATCCTTTTCTTTATTTAATTCATTATTGCATTCTCCAGCTTCCTCTTTCTTATTACAGTCATATACTCTATCTCTGTTACGAAACAAAAGTTTCATAAGTGAGGAAAGGCAAAGAAATTTATATATCGAAATATTAAGCGGGTTCGGAAATGACATTACAGATGAGACAGATTTTTTTTACTTGTGACGTCAAATTGATTTTACATAAGGTAAACACGTGATAACTGTCAAAATTTTTGCGCCCATTGTATATAGGCCTTTTCGGAAACGCTGATCCAATTAAACCATTATAATCTACTTGAAATAATTTGAATCAAGGTTGTTACCTAAATCGCAAGCATCCCATCGAGGTTGCTATGCTACTAATAGTGGTGACGTCGTTTGCAGGCCCTGCCGGCGGCGAACGTACGCCTTAGTTTATGATTCTTGTCTCTTTTTCATGCTCATGATAGGCATTTTCAGAAATTTTGATCCGATTAACCCAAATACCAGCTGTTTGTATTTTATCATTCTCTAATGGACACGATTGAAAAAAGTCTAGTGATGCAGTTAATCTGATCCAAGGATAGTACACACTACTACAAAATAGTGGATAGCTTATTCTCATAGAACCTGTGTAGTTCAAATTTTAAGCCGCCCACTATGCCACAGCGCCAGTGATGACGTAGACAGCATGACGTTTCTCGCCTGGGGGGGTTTATTTGAAATGTGCAATTCAAATACGTCTGACTAAGTCGCAATTTTTGCCGGTATATCAATGCTAGAAAATGCGACTTAGTCAGACGAATTTGAATTGCACATTTCAAATAAACCCCCCCTGGACATAAGGTTTTTTCAACCACAAACAGCTGACAACTTAGATTGACTTCGGCAATAGTGCTACAGCAATATGGCCGCAATATAATGGAAATTTCCTTGAGGCACTAGGCACCCCAGATACGTCATCAAGTTACTTATTACCAAGTTACCAACCTATTAACCTCAGGAACCTTGGGCTGCGATTACCAAAAACGAGTCCAATAAGCAATTTTTAGTAGTGTGTATTATCCTTGAATCGGATCAGTCTAATATTTTAATGTATATAGGAATGGTGACAGATCAAGGTTCTTTAATGAGAGAAGTTGCTTGGTCACGGGAACTATAAATGGATGACGTCATCAAGTGGTTGTAATTAATCAAGGTTCTTAAAATTAATAGGTTGTCTGGTAATAAGAAATTTGATGACACATTTGGGGTGCTCTATGAAAATTTGCATTATATTGAAGAAGCATCCCAGATGACGTCATAAAGTTATGGTAATTAATGACATCTTGTTGTGAAACCTAGTTCTCATAGAGCGGAAAATCGCGTTGCGGGTTTGGAAAATCGCTGATTGCTAGTAAATTTAACACTCTAAAAAACAGAGCGTGGAAAAGCGCGTTTTTCTGAACTGGGCTGGGAGGGTTACAAGGATATTACACACTACTACAGGATTTTTCATCGGCTTTGATTTTTTGGATTCAAGTTTATATGGTGTTGCACCGTTGTCGACGTCATCAACGTAACCAGTAGCTGTTAAAAATTTCGGTAAAAGTTAAGTATGTCCGGTTACAAGATTTTTCTGATGCTTTTGGAACGCTTTGGTGTATCAAAGGAAGCGTTCCCAAATTAAAATTCAGTATACTGAATTGCTGGAAAAATTACTTATGACGTCATCAATATGTCACTAATTTTAGTACTGCGTTTGCTGCATATTGGAAGCTATTGTAATCCAGTAAAAGTAGTGGGGTGTTGGTTTTTTTACGTTCTGAATGAATTATTTCCATTGTTTATTGCTGGAAATCAGGGACCAGGACCGGAACGGTATTGAACCGGAACCAAACCGTTTTTTTTTTTTTTGCAGACCAGAACCGGAACCAAACCCATATTTCATAGAAATGATGTAAGGCAGGCGGAACCGGAACCGATATAAAGTAATCGGTTCTTATCGGTATTTTTCGGTTTTAAGATTTCATAAATTAGGCTGTTTGCTGTTTGGTTGTATCGTAATAAATTTGACACTGTAAAAAACAGAGCGTTGGAGTTGAAAAGCGCGCATTTCTAAACTCGGCTAGGAGGCTTAAACAAGGATATTAATAATAAATCAAGTTCATGTGGTGTTGCACCCTAGCTGACATCATCAACGGTGTCGTTAGCGGTTTGTGCCAGCGGTCGTAGTTAAGAATATTAAGGATATACATTTATGATGAAGAATATTATTGAATTTTGATTAACATAATATACGATTTTTACGGTATATTTAAAATGACGTCACATTTAGTAAATTTCTGCTGCCAACCTAACAAAACTTAAAATACTTTTTAACGCATTTAAAGTAGGGGAATTTCAGATGTTTTTGGTTGGCAACGGCGCGCAACGTTGCATGACTTGAATAAACATTTTCATTTCGTAATTTTTAACTGTCATCAGAATTATTGACACAAGACATTCTAGTAAATTATAAGAAAAAAAATAGGCATTCACAATATTGTCTATCCTTGTTCGTTGACGTCATCCTGAATATAACATAAAAAATCTATAGGAGAAGAGGAAGATACAAACAAGGGTTGTTATAGAATATCAATTAGGCAATCCATTGCCATGTCAAACAAAATTCAATATGGCCGTTTTCGGCATCTACAACAAGGGCTACACAAATGGTTTCCTTATGAACGTCAACACAATATTTGACTTAAACGGCCATATTGAATTACATGGTCTGGATTGCTAAAAGCGCCAACGTAATCATAACAACCTGTGATGCAAACACCCGTTCTTGCAAACACCTTTTGTCAAGGCGAGAAACAACACGCTGCCTACGTCATCACTGAAACTTTGGCGTCCACAAATTACAGAAACATACATTTATCCGTTAGATATTTATGAATAACTATACCGGTATGAACCGTTAAAACCGAAATTATTGGTCCGAACCAAATCGAAATATTTCTTGCTAACTCGCAAGCATTTCACCGAGGTCTGCGGGTGACGTCACCAATATTAACTGCTGATAGTGACATCACTAGCAGACCTTGTTGACCCGAGATTTGGCGAACGTACGCCATGAGGATGATCAATCCTGTTAATTTACGATTCTTGAACATTCCAGAACATGTTTGTCAATTTCAAGTTAGAACTGTCACAAGCATTTTAGAAAGATTCATAACCCTTTTTAAATAATTTGGAACAATTTAGAATACTCGGAGAATCTCAGAATCATTCTAGAATGGTCTAGAAAAGTCAAGGATGATACATACCTATTTTACAGAATTGCTTATCGGCTTCGTTTTTGGTAACCTTGATTTTTGGGAATCGTTGCTATATTACTATTTCCGACGTCATAACCAAATCGTCATATGTTTTAACAGTTTACGTCAAGGCGAAAAATAACATACTGTCTACGTCACAACTGGTAATTTGGCATGGGAGGAATTTATTACACACAGGCCTTATGAGGATAGGTCAACATGTAGTAGTAGTCAAAATGACGTTGTTTTTTTAAATACGAGGCGAGAGTACTTTTAATCTTAAGCGCACAGGACAACAATAAAACGCCATTTTATATCGACTGTGAAGGAAAACAAGGCATAATTCCTACTTTGAAACGTCAATTTTTTGACATTTGTTGTGTCATAAGCAGTGTTGTCATATGTTTTTGTCAAATCTCGAGACCAGAGGAATGGGGTTATTTAAATTACGAGCCCGAAGGGCCAGAGTTATTATAAGCAGAAGCCTGGAGGGCCGAGGTTATACGAGCCCGAAAGTCGGGGTTTCACGAGCCCGAAAAGCCGGAGTTTTTTTAAACATTCGTGCGTATTACCATACAACAACCCTTGTCCTATAAATTCGTGATTTGAAAATATTTCGGCCCTTTGGGTTCGTAAGAAGACCCCGGGGGATCGTGATTTGAAATGACATCGGCCCTTCGGGCTTCGAGCTCGTGATTAGAAAAACCCCGGCCCTACGAGCTCGTAATTTATAAAGTTTATAGAGACTCCAGCCCTGTGAATTCATGATTTAAAAAGACCCTGGCCCTTTGGGCTCATAACAAGACCCCGGCATTTCGGGCTCGTGATTTGAAATGACTCCGGCTCGTAATTGAAATAACTCTCGCCCTACGAGCTTATAACTAGTAGGCTTTGGAAACATGTATTTATTACGATGTTGGTATTACAGGGCGCCAAACTCAAATGAAATTTCTCAAAGCCTACTTTGTCATTTGTCAAACAGTGTTGCCAACTTCCAAGGATAATATACACATACAAAGATTGCTTATCGGCCTCGTTTTCAGTAATCGTCGCCATATTGGTGTGTTACTATTACTATTTCCGACTTTATAACCAAGTTGTCAGCTTTTTAAACAGCCTTCGTCAAGGCAAGAAATAACATGCTTCTACGTTACAACTGGTGATTTGGCATGGTAGGAAGGGTCGGTTTTAATTCCAGGGTAAACGTGTCCAGTTGCAATGTTCACCCTGCAGTTATACTTAACCTGAGGGTAAGTTGCTACTGAGAAACCGACCTTTAGGGAAATTCAAAGTAAACAAAAAATTAAGTAACTAAATGGAAGGAATAAGAAATACAGTGGAAAATATCAAAGAATCTCAATTCTCCAACCCCCTGATAATAATAAAAACCTTTAAAAACTTACATTTGCCTGGCAACATCAGCCTCCCTGTATTGTTCTTTGGGCATTGTGGATTTGAAACTACACTGAAAAGGGGTAAATTAGCAAGAATATTCGAGTGTAATTTTCAATAAATATTATTGTTTGGTAGTTTTTAAGTTTAAATTCCGTTTTGATTCACTTGAAACCCATAAAATGAAGAAAACATAAGTGAGGTTAGAAGGGCACTTGGTAGCTAACGTCACCTGAATAAAGAAAAAAAGAAGAATAATTTGACTATAAGTGGCAACACTGTACATATTCAAGGTTATGTCTTCTCTTTGTCCCTTCACCATCTGTCAATAATGTCAATGATTTCCATCAATAACCTTTTTTCTTATCCATGTACTTTACATTCTTTTACCTAAACGAAAAAAATCCCGCATTTGCATTATCCAATGGAACCGGGCTTTTCCAGAACCGAAATCGTCAGTCTAGTGGTCAGATTGACCCTAGTCTCGGCCGTGACCTTTTGGAGCATCAAATGGCTCATGAACCAAGTGGACCCCACCAACAAGAGCAAGAAAAAAGCTCGGAAAACCGCTGAAGAGCAACTGAGAAGGTAAATGCATACACAAACTCACCTCTCAACTAATTTTTTCCATTAAAATCTAGAATCGCATCCAACAAACAATCAGTACAAATAGACAAACTAAATGACTATGAAATGATGATTGCAGCCCATTTAGTCAATCCAGCTGACATTAAAGTCACTTGGGAGGATATCGCAGGCCTGGAAAGCCTCATACAAGAGCTTCGTGAAACCGTCATTCTACCAATCCAAAGAAAAGACTTGTTTTTAGACTCCCTGTTAACCACACCACCTAAAGGTGTTTTACTACACGGTCCTCCTGGCTGTGGCAAAACCCTCATAGCAAAAGCAACAGCTAGAGAAGCAGGCACCTACTTCATCAATCTAGATTTATCTATTCTAACGGACAAATGGTATGGAGAGAGTCAGAAACTAGCAGCTGCAGTTTTTACTTTGGCTGTAAAGCTGCAGCCTTGCATTATATTCATAGACGAAATCGACTCTTTTTTAAGGGCAAGAAACTCTACAGACCATGAAGCTACAGCCATGATGAAAGCACAATTTATGTCTTTATGGGATGGTTTAAATTCTGACGCAAATTGCACTGTTATTATAATGGGGGCCACAAATAGGCCTCAAGATTTAGACAGGGCAATTTTACGTAGAATGCCTGCCACATTTCACGTGCCTATGCCAAATGCAGCACAAAGAATGTCAATTTTGAGCTTGATTTTAGCCAACGAGCCTACGTCAGATGATTTGGATATTGAGGCTGTTGCTAAAAGTACTGATGGATTTTCTGGATCAGATTTGCGCGAGCTTTGTCGTAATGCTGCTGTATATAGGGTGCGCGACTTTGTTAGGCAAGAGATTAACAGTAGTTTGAATAGGAGGCAAAGGCTTGATTCTGGGGAGGAATATCATGACGCCTTAAGGCCGATTACTATGGACGATTTGAAGTTTTCTTACAGTAAAATGCGCGAGAGTAAAATTCATTGTGGGGCGTTACCGGTGCAAAGCAGGATCGATTTGGACTAGCTAACAAAAGTCTTGGATGATTTGGGACTTTATGAGAATAAGTGCAACGAGTTTGCAAAAAGTTTTGAGAAGTGTAGTCGTTACAGGAGCTAAAATTGTCATTATTTTTTTTTGAGAGGCTGTGTAATGTATTAAATTAATAAAAACAATTGTGACTATGTACCTAATAGGGTTTTGTATTCTTTGGAATCATCGTGTGTTGAGGCATACAGATGACGTCATAAAAGTTATCGGGCAACCTCCTTCAAAATAACCTTGAGATTGTTTACTTTGAATATAAGACATGAAGTTCCATTATTCCAAGGATAATACAGAATACTGGATAGCCTTCTCATAAGGCCTGTGTAATTCAAATCTCAAGGCCCCCACCATGCCAAAGCACCAGTGATAAGGTAGGCAGCATGTCGTTTCTCATTTTGACGTATATTTTTCATCATTTTAAATTCTTAAAAAAACTACGACCTGACGACTTAGTTGACGGCGACAATGGTGCTGGTGCTACAACAATATGGCCGCGATTGCCAAAAACGAGGCCGACAAAAAATCCTGAGGGTCGGTTTCTATATGGCGAATCATCTCCAGGTTGGTTTTAACTCCGGGGGTTCGTTCAAGGACAGCAATGCTAATGCCAAAACCTACTTTTCCCCCTCCATCGGTAATGCCGAACCACGTAGGTTGTACAGTGGCTAAATAAACCTTTACATACAGTGGCGACAATACAGGTCCCGCCGCCATCTTGTTCCCAACCTCTTGTTACTTTTAAATATTAATTCTTTAGGATTTAAATGGACATCCATCATAAAAAATTGAAATCGCCGTATTTGACGACTATTATGAGGTTCATCAAATACGTTGTTTTCCATGTTTTATGATGGATGTTCACCTAAATCCTATATATTCATATTTGAAATAGGCAATAGGTGGGAACAAGATGGCGGCGTTTTCAATATAAATATATGAGATTTTACAGCCAATCAAAAATAAGACAGCAATTGTCGCCACTGTGGGTAATAGAGTCACTGTAGTAGGTTGGAGCCGAGCTCGAACGCAAAATGCCAATTTTGGCTTGTCTGTAGCCATTCCTGAACGCAGCCCGGGTAAACAGTCTAAAGCCTAGTACTCATAACTGCGAAATTCGCATTTTTTTGACATTGCGTTGACAATTTGACGTTTTATGCGTGTATCAAACGTCAAATTGTCGAAGTACTAGGCTTAAAGCCTAGTACTCATTGCTTCGACAATTTGACGTTTGATACACGCATAAAACATCAAATTGTCAACGCAATGTCAAAAAAATGCGAATTTCGCAGTTATGAGTACTAGGCTTAAGGGTGGATCTTCATGCATCCGGTTTTCCGACGAAAGATGTCCGAAAAACATTCTATTCTGACATAATCGTATAAAAATATGTCAAAATAGAAGATTTTTCGGACATATTTCGTCGGAAAAAGGATGCATGAAAAGTAAGCTTTATATCAACGAAAAACAAGCCAAGATTTCGGTTTGAACTTTTTTGAACCAAGTTCAATGTGACGTCACTGGTTCAACGTAAAAATGTATAAGTTCAAACTTATTTGAACCGGATCGAATCTCCACCGTGAGAAAACAGCTCAAATCTGTTCTAAAAATTGATCAAAAATCTGTTCCGAACTCGTTTACTGTCAAATGACACCCTGAACTAGATCACAATTAAAGAAAATCTCGAATTAGTGTTCTAGAACACATTCAACTTATTCCTCTTTTTGTTAGTAATTCAATAAGAGCCAGTTCCAAACTATCTAAAGTTCAACTAAAATCAGTTCCAAAACGTTTCTTTGTGTTCTAAAGACCTGTTCCGAATTAGTTCACGATCAAACAATTTTAATAAAAGTGCCCTGGAACACATCGAATGTACACTTTTTTATTCGCAATTTCCATCCAAAAGCTTTGTTTGTCCCCCCAACGGAAGTGAGGTTATGTGTGTGATGTCAGTTAGTGCCTTATTATCACAAGCGCTTTAAAACGCTTCATAACTCTTTTCAAGTAATTTGGAACACTCAGAACAATCTAGGAACACTTTGGACTTTCTTAACCACTCTAGAACATTTTGGAAAGTTCAAAATTATTTTAGAACCTTTTAGAATCCTTCAAAAATACCGTTGCTACTTCCATTAAATGTTTATTTTCTGAACACTTTCAATAATTATTTAGAGAATTCATGAACTGATTAGTGACACTAGAACATTTAAGAATCAGTTCAGTCATCTGAGAGTCGATCCAGACAATTCAGAATACTCCAGAACTAATTTTTGATGTTCTAATAACACTTTCAAATCAATTTGAATGTTTGCATGCACTGTTCTATGCCAATTTTATTTGAGCACTTCAGAAATAAATCAAACATTATGGAAACACCTCAGTAGAACCAATTCTGACATTATAGAACGAACTGAGAGCACTTCAGAACCAGTTAAGTATCAAAAAAAAAGAACATCGAGTAGATTTTAACAATTTAGTGAGTTATGAGAAACTTTCCAGGGAGATACTCCAATATCCAAATTCCAGTTCCAAAAAACCTCGTTCCTAACACTTTTCAAGTAAATTGGAACATTCAGAACTATTCTAGAACGGTCTAGAACACTTTGGAATTTTCAAAACCACTCCAGAACATTCCTAAATACATACCTACTGTGTTCTTTGACCAGCTAAGGAGCTCGTAAAGACGTTCTGGAACTCTAAGAACCATTTGAAATTTTTCGCAAGCATTTTAGAAAGCTCTAAGAGTGATTCAGAACCAGTTCAGAAAATTTCAAGAACATTTTAGAGTGCTCCTAGATCCATTTTTTGATTAATTTTTAGTGATTTCGTGAACCTTGCAGAATTGATAAGAGACCTTTTAGAACATTCTAGAATAAAGTTATGTGAAAGTCAATCCAAACAATTTAAAACACTCCAGAACCAATTTTTGATATTCCAAGAACATTTTAAAACGAGATTCAGAACACTTTAAAACGAGATTCAGAATTCTAGGAACAAGCCAAGAGTACGGTTCGAACTTTTTTGAACCAAGTTCAATGTGACGTCACTGGTTCAACGCAAAAATGTGCAGGTTCGGACCGAATTGAATCAGTTCCACCGCGAGAAAACAGCTCAAATGTGTGGATTTTGAAGCAAAGATAGAGATATATGATTTCGCATAAGTCTATCTTTGTCAAAAGAAGTAGGAACCAGGTCATCATACGTTAAATACCAGATTTTTATTGGTCAACGGTTGGCATATTGTAACATGCTTCTTGTGGTGCGGTGTTGTTCAGGATGTCAAGTTGAGGATATTATGCATCATTTTGACATGCTGTATTTTTGCCATTGAGATTTTTTGAGCAATATATCTTTGTACTTGTCTTCTTTGTACGGTTAAAGCGAGATGACCTCTTAAACAACCTTGGGATGTTTGGTATTTGGTTAAGTAGATCAGTAAAGCAGAGTTCTATAATGTCCTTCATCTAGATAAGACTCATTTTCAGGAATTATAAATTGGGGTCAATTTTATAAATTTAAGAACTGGCACCGTTTTGGAACACTTAGAACCATTCCAGAACAGTCTAGAACACTTTGCAACTCTCTCAGAAACTTGTTAAGGCGTTCTAGAGCTCTAAGAACTAATTGAACGTATTGATTGAGTGATTTTGTAATGCTCTAGAACCAATTCAAAAAATTTAAAAACAATTTAGAGCACCTAGATCCAATAAGCTTTTATTTTTGGTACACTTTTAATAATAATTTTAAGATTTCATCAACCTTGTCGAACCGATTTTGGAACACTTCAAAATCAGTTCAGTCATTCCACACGATTCAGAACACTCCGGAACTAATTAGGTTCCGAACATATTGAATTGTTTGCAGTTCATTTAAAAATTGGTTCATGTGATTTTTGAACTGGTTCTCAGAGTTCCGAGTAGTTCGATGGCTGTTCTAAACTAGAGAAAATCATGAAGTGGTTTATTATTATACGCATACGGTGCACAATTAATTAGAACCATTAAACTTACTATAGTTCATTGGTTCCACATAATTTCTGAATTGGTTTTTAGAGTTCCGAGTAGTTCGATAGTTGTTTCGAACTAGAAAAAATTGAGAACTAAATTTTTATTGAACGCATACGGTGCACGAGAATCCTAAATTATTGTTCTGGATCACATTAACAATTCATTTAGAACCGGTTCCAGATCATTTCAGAATTGATTTTTAGAGTTCAAACTGCTACAATTACTGTTCCGGATTCGGAACAAAATAAACTGAATTATATTGGAGCAGATTGATTGTTCGTAATTCAATTAAAACTGGTTCCGAATAGATCTTGAACTGGTTCACAATTGAGGAATCTTTAATTTGTGTTCCAGATCATTGTTCGCGGTGCAACTAGAATCAGTTCCAAATCGGTTTTATTTGTTCTTAAACCCATAAACCTGTTCCGAACTCATTCGCCTTTATACTCTTCAATATTCGAACTTACTTTATTTACTTAAAAGGAGTAGAACAAATACAATCTTGAACGATTTGCTTACTCAGAGCACTCAAAATATGGTAAATAGAGTAATCATCTTAATGTTTGAGTATAAGGAGGAAAATAAATATAACTTTTTAATGAATAAACCTATTCTATTTACTCTAAAACACTAAAACGAGTTAACAGAGTTAAATTTAGTTCACTAAAACGAGAATCTCAGACCAAATAGAGTAACTGTTAACGTTGCTCGATTAGTTTCGAACATAAAAAAAGCTACACTGGATCCAGAATTGGTGTTCTAGAGGCAACAATAAACAGAAATTTGAGTAAAAAATGTCGATTGGAACGAAATCAACTCTGAAAAGTACGCAAACATATCCTGATGACGTCATCACTGGGTGAACGCGAGGAAATGGAAGGTTTGAACACAGTCTTATGTCAACGGTGAACAAGCCAAGAGTCCGGTTCGAACTTTTTTGAACTAGGTTCAATGTGACGTCACTGGTTCACCGCAAGAATATACAGGTTCCAACCTAATTGAACCGGTTCGAACCAGTTCCACCGCAAGAAAACAGCTTAAATTATAATTTTCATAAACATACAATTTAGACGTTTCAGTTCTAGAATACGGTGCACGAGAATCCTAAATCAGCGTTCTAGATCACATTAACAATTCATTTAGAACCGGTTCCCGATCATTTCAGAATTGATTTTTAGACTTCGGACTGCTACAATTACTGTTCCGAATTCGGAATAAACTAAACTGAATTGTATTGGAGCACATTGATTGTTCGTAATTCAATTAAAACTGGTTCCGAATAGATTTCGAAGTTTTACACTGGTTCACTATCGAGCAATCTTTAATTTGTGTTCCAGATCATTGTTTGCGGTGCAACTAGAATTAGTTCCGAATCGGTTTTATTTGTTCTTAAACCCAAAAACCTGTTCCGAACTCGTTTGTCTTTTTACTCTTCAATTTTCAAACTTACTCTATTTACTTAAAAGGAGTAGAAAAAATACAATCTTGAACGATTTGCTTACTCATAGCACTCCAAATATGGCAAATAGAGTAATTATGTTCATGTTTGAGTATAAGGAGAAAAATAAATACAATTTTTTAATGAATAAACCTACTCTATTTACTCTAAAACAGTAGTACGAGTAAACAGAGTCAAATTTAAAGCACTAACGAGAATCTAAGACCAAATAGAGTAACTGTTCACGTTGCCCGATTAGTTTCGAATATAAAAAAACCTACACTGGATCCAGAATTGGTGTTCTAGAGACAACAATAAACAGAATTTGAGTAAAAAAAATGTCGAATGGAAGGAAATCACCTCTAAAAAGTACGCAAACATAATCTACAGAATCCGAAAATGCCGGTAATGCAGGTACCTGCAACGATACATAGAATTCTATTTTAGTTAAACGTATATCATTTTTAAAATAAAATTCTATCAATCGTGGGGCGCATGATTCAAACTACAGTTTAAACCAATTTGTAGATGACGTCATCACTGGTGAACGCGAGGAAATGGAAGATTTGAACACAGTCTTATGTCAATGGAGAACAAGCCAAGAGTCCGGTTCGAACTTTGTTGAACCAGGTTCAATGTGACGTCACAAGAATGTACAGGTTCGAACCGAATTGTACCAGTTCCAACACGAGAAAACATGCTTCTTGTGGTGCGGTGTTGTTATGATATCAAGTTGAGGATTGCATCAATTTGACGTGCTGCATTTTTCCCATTAAGATTTTTTGAGCAGTGTATCTTTGTCCTTGTTTTTTTTGTACGGGTAAAGCAAGAGGAAAATAGTTTAGAGAACAGAAGGCAACTGGATTTTTTTTGGACAAGAGGTAAAATGAGGTTGTTGTTGAAATTTCAAGGCTTCTGGACAGCTTGGCGAAAGCAAAAATGGACCAGCAAAAATATACTGATGAAGTGCCATTAATCCAAGGATAAAACAGGATAGCCTTCTTCCTTTCTTTCTCATAAGGCCTGTAGCCTGCCTTGTGGAAATTTGCATTACATTGCGGCATACAGATGACGTCATAAAAGTTATCAGGCAACCTTTTCTTAAACAACCAGGATTGTTAAAGTAGAGTTCTATAATGTCTTCACATAAGATAAAACTCATTTTCAGGAATTATAAATTGAAGTCAATTTTATAAATTTAAGCTCATGAGTCATAATTGATGAGAAAATTCAGAAAATCGACTGTGATAAATCAATTTTAATTTTACACATCCAACAAATCTGGCAACGTTGCCTTTGAAAAAAGTCAACCGTCAATAATATATGTCAAGTCAAATTCAAAAAAGCGGGAAACAAAACGGTTTGTTGTTGTGTGTGGGCTGGCACTAATCTACACAGATTAGGGTTAAAAATCGGCATTTTTCGGGCTTCGGATTCAAAATTTCCACAAAAAAATCATGTCGGTAACGAAAAACGGCCCTCGTCCATTTACCGTAATAGTCGAAGGCAATATTGGTAGCGGAAAAACCACATTTCTCAACCATTTTAACCAATATGAGGATGTTTGTGTGCTGGCCGAGCCCATTGAAATGTGGCGAAATTGCCAGGGGCACAACTTATTAGGCCTGATGTACCAAGACATCAAAAAATGGAGTTTTACTTTTCAGTCTTATGTACAATTGACCATGTTGCAGCATCATACTAAGCAAACTAGTTGTCCTGTGAAACTGATGGAAAGATCCATTTATAGTGCAAGGTAACTACCTACACCTAATTTTACATAACAATAATTACCTACTTAGACTATTATTACATAGATATTGCTTTGTTGAAAAAATGAAACAAGACGGCCTACTTCCTGAAGCCTCAGCCGCAGTAATCGAGAAACATTTTGACTGGATCCAAGACTATGCTAATGTAGATGTAGATTTAGTAGTTTATCTAAGAACTACTCCAGAAGTTGTCTATGACCGTATGATGGAACGCAACAGGCAAGAGGAAAAAGCTGTGTCCTTAGATTACCTCAAAGCTTTGCATCAGATTCACGAAGACTGGCTTTACCATAAGACTTTATTCAAAGTTCCTGCTCCTGTCATTGTTTTGGATGCTGATTTGGATAAATCGCTTATTAGGGAGGAATATTTGAAGTGCGAGCCTCATATTCTTGTCAGCACCAAAGCTTAGTTTTAGAGGCAGCATTTTTATTTATATGTATGTTTGTGTGTGGATAAATTTATAATGACTAAATTGATTTTATTTTGTAACTTTTTAATAATTAAGAATGAATGTTTTGTGTAGTCAAGTACAAAAAATAAAATATTTTACAATACATAGTCATAGTACATTGTGTATTGAGGGCAAAAAAGGAGACGAGTGAAGTTATCAGATATCACATGAGTCGAAATTAATTGCTTTTTGACCGTGTGGTGCACACAGCACTTTTCGAGCAACCCTTTTGGAAACTTTTTCAATAAATGAATATTAGATTCAAAAAAATTGAATAAACGAAGATTCACTGAAAATCAATGGTAAATCTGTAATTCCAAAAGAAATTTATTATTGTAAAAATTACAGTTCTCTGTAATTTGTTATCAGAAATTATTGAGTTGGCAATATTGTACAGAGTTAAATGAAGTATTCTGTAATTTTTTCCCAAGACGACTTATCGAACGCAGTTCAGCATCGAGATATCATTTTTTTGAATCTCAACCCACAGTCTAAAAATTTTGAAAAACCTATATAAAAACATTACAGAGCTCTACTTTACGGTGGACTCTACATTAAAATGGCCGTCTACTAAAAATTGAAAAATGGCATCCATTTTGAATAACCATTGACAGTTCAGCGCCTACTTGGATAATACGCTAACTATAAACTAGTCTCCCATGCTTCCAGCCTAAAATTTATCTAAAGAACATCAAGAAAACTCAAGACCCAAGCAGCTCAGCGGTTGTGTTTTCACTTTGCATGCAGTGGGTCTCGGGTTCGAATCCCGGCTAGGTGCATGGATGTTTGTTTGTTTGTTTGATTTGGTTTGTGTGTGATGTTGGAGGCTTTGTCGACAAACCACAGTGGTGGTTTCTGACAAGAAAGCAGCAAAAAAAAAAAAAAAATTATGTTAGTCTCTGTAATTATCAAATGCCGTTCAACTTTGAGGTATAATTTTTTTGATTCTCAACCCACAGTCTAAAGATTATGAAAATGTATATAAAAACATTACAGAGCTCTACTTTTCCGTAGTCTCTGATGGCCGACCATCAAAAATTCAAAAATGGCATCCATCTTGAATGACCGTTGACAGTCCAACGCCTCATAGGCGAAATTAGGAGGGTGCTAAGCACCCCTTAAGCAAAAATTAGCACTCCCATTTGGCTGACTAATATAAAAAATTAGTGCAACCAAATTATAATTTTTTTTTTTGCACTTACTTACGTCATCGATGACATCATAATTTAAAAAAAAGTATTATTGTTATGGAATAAAAATTTTCAACCGGGGCCGGTATTACAATATTACCTTAAAATCAAAATTTACCCTAAAATATACAGTTTTTATGTTATATTTAAGATGACGTCATCGAACAAGGTCAGACAATGTTGTCAATGTCTATGTTTATTCTATATCTCAAGGTGACGTTGAAATACCGGCCCTTAAAAAATCATTGAAGTCCCAAATATATAAATTAATTAACTGCGGATTATACAGGGTGTTCCTACATATGATATACAAACGGTAGAGGGTGATTCTTTATTTTTTTTTTTAATGACTAAAATCTCAAATATGTTCTAAAAAATTGACTTATTTAAGGAAAATTCACCCTTTTACATTTTAATTTTTTTCTGGAAAACTTGCAAAGGAAAAATTTTAGAAATTTTCCAGGAATAAGAGGAAAATGAGGAGCTCATGTTACGAAAATTTCAAAATTTTGCAGTAAAAAATCACTCCAGGAAAAATTTTGAAAAACTAACTTTTCGAGCAAAATTAAGAATTCACCCTCAACATTTTAATTTTTTTCTAAAAATCTAGCAAAGGAAAAATTGTAAAATTTTTCCAGAAAAAAGAGAAAAGTGAGGAGCTCATTATAAGACAATTTCCAAATTTTCCAGTGGAAAATCACTCCAAGAAAAATTCTGGGAAATTGACTTTTTTAGGCAAAATTCACCCTCTTAGGTACATTTTAATTTTTTTCTGGGAAACTAGCGGAAGGAAAATTGTGAAAATTTTCCAGAAACAAGAGGCAAATAAAGAGCTCATTATAGCAAAATTTTAAAATTTTCGAATGAAAAATCACTCCAGGAAAAATTCTGAAAAATTGACTTTTTCAAATAAAATTAAGAAAAATTCACCCTTTTACATTTTATTTTTTTTCTGGAAAACTGGCAAAGGGAAAATTTTCCAGAAATAAGAGCCGCTCGGCATTTGTAGAAATGACGGTAAGAGAGCGGATGGAATGACTTTGATCCTATGGAAACAGGGAAAGCAACTGATTTGGGATGCAACATGTAGCCATACCTTGGCAAAATCCTATCTAGACAGAACATCGAAAGCACTTGGGTCAGTTGCTCTACTTGCTGAATCTAAAAAACATATCAAATATAAAGAGCTGGAGGATCGCTTTGTTTTTGTTCCCATCGCCATAGAGACATTGGGTCCTTGGGGCGATGAGGCTAAGAGGTTGGTCCAAGAGATTGCTTCCAAGATCCCTTGTCAGCGGTCTCTTAGCTTCATCACTCAGAGGATCAGCTTAGCTGTGCAGCGTGGCAACGCAGCCTCTGTAATGGGTACCATCGGGGAAGACTATGGACTGGAAGAGATTTTCGAAGTTTGACACTTCTTTTATTTATTTATTTTTTTTTTTCATTTTACTTATTTTGTTTTATATATTTGTTGTTCAAATTTCATTCATTAGGACTTAATTAAAGCCTAATTAAGAGGAAAATGAGGAACTCATTTTACGAACATTTCAAAATTTTGCAGTAAAAAATCACTCCAGGAAAAATTTTGAAAAACTAACTTTTTTAAGCAAAATTAAAATTTTTCCAGAAGAAAGAGAAAAGTGAGGAGCTCGATATAGGAAAATTTCAAAATTTTCTAGTGGAAAATCACTCCAGGAAAAATTCTGGGAAATTGACTTTTTTGAGCAAAATTCAACCCTCTTACATTTTAATTTTTTTCTGGGAAACTGGCAAAAGGAAAATTGTGAAAATTTTTCAGAAAAAAGAGGAAAGTGAAGAGCTCATAGCAAGATTTTAAAATTTTCCAATGAAAAATCACTTCATAAGAAATTCTGGAAAATTGACTTATTTAAGCAAAATTCATCCTTTCACATTTCAATTTTTTTCTGAAAAACTGGCAAAGCGGGAATTATGAAATTTTTCCAAAAGAAAAAAGAAAGTGAGGAGCTCATTAAAGGAAAATTTCAAAATTTTCCAGTGAAAAATTACTCCAGAAAAAATTCTGAAAAATTTACTTTTTCAAGTAAAATTAAGAAAAATTCACCCTCTTACATTTTAATTTTTTTCTAGAAAACTGGCAAAGGGAAAATTTTAAAAATTTTCCAGGAATAAGAGTAAAATGAGGAACTCATTTTACGAAAGTTTCAAAATTTTCCAGTAAAAAATCACTCCAGGAAAAATTTTGAAAGACTAACTTTTTTAAGCAAAATTAAGGAGAATTCACCCTCTTATACATTTTATTAAGGAAACTAAACGATATCGGCATTGGGCACACAGTATTGCAATGGTTTAAATCATATCTGAGTAACAGACATCAAAAGGTGAAATTTAAGAATTCTATGTCAGATTCCTTACTGGTTCAGTATGGAGTACCGCAGGGAACCATTTTGGGACCGCTATTATTTCTACTCTATATAAATGATATCGTCAAAGTTGTGAAGGGATGTAAAATTGAATTGTTTGCTGACGATACAATGATATACTTGGCTGGAAAAGATATAGTTCAGATGCAAAAAATAGTAAACACTGATTTAAATAATTTGTTTAAATGGCTTTGCAACAACAACTTAAGTATTAACACTTCGAAATCAAAATGTTGTTTATTTGGGAAAAAATATAGTCTGAAAGATGTTAATCTAGAAAGCATAAATATTATCGTGAATAACGAAAAAATACTTCATGAAAATCAGATTAAATATTTAGGAGTCATATTCGATTCATGTTTGAATTTTTATGCACATGCAGAGTACATAACGAGGAAGTTTTCCAAAAAAGTAAACTTTATTGGGAGGATAGGCAATAAGTTGTCAATGGCTACGAAATTGCTAATCTATAAAAGTATAGCAACTCCACACCTTGAATTTTGTTCCACCCTCTTGTTCAATTTGCCTAATTTTAAGATAGAGCAGTTACAGAGTGTTCAAAATAGAGCAATGAGAACTATTCTAAGATGCAATAGATATACCCCAATTGCAACAATGCTTAACATTTTAAATGTCTTTTCTGTCAAGCAAAAAGTTACGTACAGCGTCCATGTTTTTCTGTTTAAAATTAAAAACAAAATGTTACCGTCTTATATCTGTGATAGGGTGAAGTTTTTTAAAGATGTACATAGTTATAACACCAGAAATTGTAATGACTTTGTATTGTCAGATAAGTGTTGCACCACCCAAATGCTCAACTCGGTTCTATATAGAGGTTTACATGATTTCAATATGTTACCCAACAATATAAAAGACTGTGATAACCTGAAAATGTTCAAAAAATTAGTGAGAGATCATCTATTGTGAGATTTGTTTTATATCGTTTTATTTTATTTTTTATACTTATTTATTTATTTATTTTACAACTATGTGTATTTATTGTTTGAATGTTTTTTATTGAATCCTTTTTAATGTGTTAATTTATTATTATTATTATTATTATTATTATTGTAACTACCTAGGATATAATATTTTATTGATTTGTTTTTGTATTTAACATATTTGCTCAATAAAGATTATTATTATTATTATTATTATTATTATTATATTTTAATTTTTTTCTAGAAATCTGGCAAAGGGAAAATTGTGAAATTTTTCCAGAAGAAAGAGAAAAGTGAGGAGCTTATTATAGGAAAATTTCAACATTTTCCAGTGAAAAATCACTCCAGGAAAAATTCTGGGAAATTGACTTTTTTAGGCAAAATTTACCCTCTTACATTTTAATTTTTTTCTGGGAAACTGACGAAAGGAAAATTGTAAAAATTTTCCAGAAAAAAAGAGGAAAATAAAGAGCTCATTATAGAAAAATTTCAAAATTTTCGAATGAAAAATCACTCCATAAAAAATTCTGGAAAATTGACTTATTTAAGCAAAATTAAGGAAAATTAACCTGTTATATTTTAATTTTTTTCTGGAAAACTGGCAGAAGAAAAACTTAGAAAATTTTCCAGGAAAAAGAGGAAAGTGAGGAGCTCATTATAGGGAAATTTCGAGATTTTCCAGTGCGAAATCACTACAGGGAAAATTCTGAAAAATTGATTTTTTCAAGTAAAATTAAGGAAAATTCACCCTCTTACATTTTAAGTTTTTTCTTAAAACTGTCAAAGGGAAAATTTTGAACATTTTCCAGGAATAAGAGGAAAATGAGGAACTCATTTTACGAAAATGTCAAAATTTTCCAGTAAAAAATCACTCCAGGAAAAATTTTAAAAAATCAACTTTTTTATGCAAAATTAAGAAGAATTCATCCTTAACATTTTAATTTTTTTCTGGAAATCTGGTAAAAGGTAAATTGTGAAATTTTTCCAGAAGATAGAGAAAAGTGAGGAGCTCATTATAAAAAAAATTCCAAATTTTCCAGTGGAAAATCACTCCAGGAAAAATTCTGGGAAATTGACTTTTTTAGGCAAAATTCACCCTCTTACATTTTAATTTTTTTCTGGAAAACTGACAAAGGGAAAACTTTGAAAATTTTCCAAGAGAAGGAGAAAGGTGAGGAGCTCATTATAGGAAAATTTCGAAAATTTCTAGTGAGAAATCACTCCAGAGAAAATTCTGGAAAATTGACTTTTTCAAATAAAATTAAGGAAAATTTATCCTCTCACATTTCAATTTTTTTCTAGAAAACTGGCAAAGTAAAAATTGTGAAATTTTTTCAAAAAAAAAAAGGAAAGTGAGGATAAGCTCATTATAGGAAAATTTCAAAATTTTCCAGTGAAAAATCACTCCAGGAAAAATTCTGGGAAATTGACTTTTTCAAGTAAAATTAAGAAAAATTCACCCTCTTCCATTTTAATTTTTTTCTGGAAAAGTGGCAAAGGAAAAATTTTAAAAATTTTCCAGGAATAAGAGGAAAATGAGAAGCTCATTTTATGAATTTCAAAATTTTCCAGTGAAAAATTACTTCAGGAAAAATTCTGGGAAATTGACTTTTTTAGGCAAAATTCACCCTCTTACATTTTAATTTTTTTCTGGAAAACTGGCAAAGGGAAAACTTTGAATATTTTCCAAGAAAAAGAGAAAGGTGAGGTGCTCATTAAAGGAAAATTTCGAAATTTTCCAGTGAGAAATCACTCCAGAGAAAATTCTGGAAAATTGTCTTTTTCAAATAAAATTAAGGAAAATTCATCCTCTCACATTTCAATTTTTTTATAGAAAACTGGCAAAGCAAAAATTGTGACATTTTTCCAAAAAAAAAGGAAAGTCAGGATGAGCTCATTATAGGAAAATTTTAAAATTTTCCAGTGAAAAATCACTATAGGAAAAATTCTGAAAAATTGACTTTTTTAAACAAAACTAAGAAGAATTCACCCTAAACATTTAATTTTTTTTCTAGAAATCTGGCAAAGGGAAAATTGTGAAATTTTTCTAGAAGAAAGAGAAAAGTGAGGAGCTCATTATGGGAAAACTTCAAAATTTTGCAGTGGAAAATTACTACAGGAAAAATTCTAGGAAATTGACTTTTTTAGGCAAAATTCATCCTCTTACATTTTAATTTTTTTCTGGGAAACTGGCAAAAGGAAAATTGTGAAAATTTTCCAGAAAAAAGAGGAAAGTAAAGAGCTCATTATAGCAAAATTTTAAAATTTTCCAATAAAAAATCACTCCATAAAAAATTCTGGAAAATTGACTTATCTTCCTCTTACATTTTAATTTTTCTCTGGAAAACTGGCAGAGGGAAAACTTTGAAAATTTTCCAGGAAAAAGAGGAAAGTGAGGAGCTCATTATAAGGAAATTTCGAAATTTTTCAGTAAGAAATCATTTCAGGGAAAATTCTGAAAAATTGACTTTTTCAAGTAAAATTAAGGAAAATTCATCCTCTCACATTTCAATTTTTTTCTGGAAAACTGGCAAGAAAGGAAACAGAGGAAAATCAGGAGCTCATTATAAGAAAATTTCAAAATTTTCCAATGGAAAATCGCTCCAGGAAAAATTCTGAAAAAATGACTTTTCTAAATAAAATTAAGAAAAACTCATCCTCTCACATTTCAATTTATTTCTGGAAAACTGATAAAGCAAAACTTGTGAAATTTTTCCAGGAGTAAGAAGAAAATGAGGAGCTCATTATAGGAAAATTTCAAAATTTTCAAGTGAAAAATCACTCCAAGGAAAGTCAAGAGGAAAGTTCTGGAAAATTGACTTTTTTAATCAAAATTCATCCTTTCGCATTTCAATTTTTTTTTTGGAAAACTGGCAAAGCAAAATTGTGAAATTTTTCCAAAAGAAAGAGGAATGTGAGGAACTCATTATAGGAAAATTATCTAAAGAACATCAATAAAAATTACGTAAATCTCTGTAATATTATTGAACACAGTAGTCATGTTAAACCACAGTCTAAAGATCATGAAAATCTATATAAAAACATTACAGAGCTCTACTTTATCGAGGCCTCTTCACTTAAAATGGCCAACTGTCAAAAAACCTAAAATGTCATCCATCTTGAATGACAGTTGACGGTCCAGCGCCTACTAGGATAAAACGCAAACTTGAAACCAAGTGTAGTTGTGTCTCGAGTCTATAAATTTGGTTTAGAAAAGTAAACATCAGGAAAATATAATTACGTAAGTTTTTGTTACGTCACTGCTAGGGTTGTGCCGTTTGAAATTTTCAAATGAAATTTCCATGTTTGAAATATTCAAATGTGAAATTTCCAATATTCGAAAAAAGTGAAATTTCACAGAAATTGCCGATGAAATTTTCAATTTGAAATTTCCCAAACTTTGTAGAAAATTTCATATTTTTCACTGGAAATTTCATAAATTTCATCGAAATTTTCAAAAAGTGTTCATGTTTCGCCGGAAAATACAAGGAGTTATTGGCAATAATGGCAACGTTGCTCACTGGTTGTCTTGCTTTGGATAATGGAATCCTAATTTTTAGCAAATTTCTTAGCTTAGGTTGGAATTCATTTGCCACGATTCGATTTTATAGGACACGACTTGACAAAACAAGTTTCGTAGGCAGATGAATCTCATGTTGGAAGCCTAAACTTATGATAAATACAGTTGAACCAAAAAAACAATATTTGGAGATACTTCACTCCTGACTAGGAAATAAATAACAGAAAGGTAGAATGTGTTTTTTCTTTGAACGTGCGGGAAATGGCTCTTTCCGCACTATTTGCAGTGCGGGCAGACTTTCTTGTTTTGTGTGTTGTTTTCTTCTCAATACATTTATAAATTTACCTACTGCACAGTCGCATTTTATTTAAATTATATTTTTTGTAACATCACCGCACTCGGGCGCTTCACACACTTTTGTGGGCAATATCTCCTCCCGCACTTGTTAGGAAAATAGCTATTATTTATTTACATTCGACACTTAAGCCAGAATAAACTGTCTGAAGAATGAAGAATGTTTAGCCATTGTACCTACACCTACGTATTTATTTTTGTGTGTACTGAGGTACCTACCCTACCACCACCTCATAAATACCATACTAAACTAATACCACAGCTAATACACAAAGTCACCTAGTCATGTCACATCACAATAATTGAATTTTATAGATTATACAACTCACTGTACATTATTCCCATATGACACGAGAGGCTTAAAAAGTGATAAGCCTTTTGGGATTATTGCGCTTGGTGGCATTTGTCATTAATAATAATAAAAATTAATAAAGCATATAAGTTTAGTTCGTTGTATAACCTTTTGAATACCACTCGATGTTTCAGGATTATCTAATACTTTAACCTGACACTCAACGCGTTACCAGCAACACCACTCCTCCTTCGGAGTCGTGGTGTTCGTGACAGGTAAAAGTATTATCCGGTAATCCTGAAACCTCTTGTGGTATTACATTCGAAAATTTCATTGAATTTTATGAAATTTCATTGACTATTTCACTAGAGTGTATTACACCAGCAATAAATTCGGTATTCACCTGACAATAACGCTACCTGGACAATACCAACAACATGGTATTTCAGCGACCATCTTTTGACATTGTAAAACTGGTATTTTTAATTTGAAGTTTTTATTAATAATTTTGCATTCTATTTATTTCAAAATCTTACGTGAAATAGTCATGACGAATACCACTCGAGAAATTGCCAAGCAACAAACTTTCATACCTTTCGAAAATTTTGCCGACAAATTTTTTTCCCTTGTGATATTATATATGAAAATTTCATAGTGAATCATTTGATTTTGAAAATTTCCGCGAAACTTTCAAAATTTTCAGAAAAATTCAGAAACGTTGAAAATTTCGCGGAAATTTCAAAAATTTCAATATTTCCATGAAAATTTCAGAATGAAATTTCCAGATGAAGTGAAAAGTGAAATTTACCCAACCCTAGTCACTGCGCCCCCTAAGGGATTTTCCTTAATAACTCAGGGGATTTGTTATAATGAAAAGGCTTTTTAGGGGGAGAAAAAAGAGGTTTGCTTCTTGTAAAAACGTTTAATATACTTTTACATACAATAATCTCTGTGAGCATTCGATACAATAATAATTATTACCACACTTGGGGTGCATTGAGACAATCGATAAAAATTTATATACTTTTCACAAGGTCTGTTATCACACAAATCGGAAACCAGTTAAAGCGTTTTTGATTGGTCCAAATCGTCAACCAATGAAATTCACTCTTGACTGGTTTTCGATTTTTGTGAAAACACACCTACAGTTGACAGATAAACATTCATTTTATGCACCCTCCTAACTTATTACAGCTATAATATACAATAAAAAATATACAGTGTGTATCAATCACATTTACCAATAATTGCAGGAGTGTAAAAAATAAAATATAGGGAAGACAATATTTGAAAAAAAATTAATCACCCTGTAAAAATACTCAACAATATTATTACTGATATGAGTTAAAAAGTGTTGCTTAAAATCTATTGTAATTAGTTCCTAGCTGCAGTAGGCTTATTAATACAAGGGCCAGTTATTTCATCAAAAATTATTATTATTATTATTAGTGTTTCAACGTAAACAACTGACCCCTGAGAATATCAATTAAAAAAAATAAAATAAATAACATTATAGGATTTGACTACATTTTTTCTGACTTAGTTGAACAAAATCGAATTGGGATCCTCGTTATCCATTTGCTTTATGTGTCGCAGCACGTCTTTTTTTGTTATAACGCCTAGCAAGCGGCTAAAAAATGACAGTTATCAATAATAGATATCCTAAAATATAAAGAAATCCTTACCCGTTATGTGTGACTAAAGTCTGCCTTAATCCTAGTTTTCTAAACATATCAACCACTGTTTCCATTGGTGTCTGATCAGTAATGGTAATAGGGGCCATGTCTAGGATTTTCTTTAGTTTCAAGGGAGGAGGTCCCAGAGTTTGAGGCGGATTACCGCTGGTGAATAATACAAGGGATTGGCCACAGATACCGTCTACCATTCTTTTGGCATTAGCTAGAAAATTACCAATGATAATAACTATGTTCTCTACAAGTGCCACTGACTATTAATTTTTTTCTCTACAAGTGTCACAATACATAAGAAATTTGAAATGTAGGCCTAGAGGCAAAATAGCTTACCAATAGCTAAATTGAGATCCTTTCTAAGAACAAATCCCACCAAATACTGAGAATCCTTTGAGACCACTACAGGATATCCATTGTGTTCAGTGTCTTTTAGTAAACCTTCCACATCGTCCACCGTCATAGAATCTTGTGTTATTACGCTAAGAGTTTCATTACGTCTAAAAAAAAAATTATTTAATAATTAAGGCCTAAATTGTACATTGGCTGATAGCTAACTAGTGAAAAACTCTCTTACTTTGGCTGCATAACATCAGCAGCTAAACTGGTATGTTGAAATTCGTCCTTAGAATCCAAAAATGGATACCCGTTCAAGGCAATGTGTGCATCGTAGATTCCTTGTCTTCCTAGGGCGTCTCCTACCCACTTACTAGCCATAGCGGCTGCCATTAGAGGTACAATATACCTTACTCCGCCTGTTAGTTCGAACATTATTACCACTAGTGAAACGGTCATGCGCGTGACGCCTCCTAACACTGCGGCTGCGCCCACCATAGCATATAATCTGAAACATTATTTTGATATTTGAGTCTTTTTGAAATTTTCAAAGCGTCTTAACTCGAAAACCAGAAGCTCAGGAGAAAAACTTCAAATATGAAACTTATAGATCTCGTCAAGTACTACAAAAAAGCCTATAAGAAGTATCCCTCTACGAGGCACCGTTTTCGAGAAAATCGACCTGGAAAATTTTAACAAAATTACAAAAAATTTCAACTTTGACGGCTGATATTTCAAAGACGAAAACGGCTTGGAGAATCAACTAAATTATGCATGAATGCACCATTTAACATTTTATTTTTTTTCTGGAAAACTATCCAGAAAAAAATTATTAAATTTTTTGGGAAAAAAAGAGAAAAGTCAGGGGCGTATCATACTAAAATTTCAAATTTTTCTAATAAAAAATAACCTTATTGGAAATTAATGAAAATCAACTAAATTAGGCATTAATGCATTATTCAATATTCAATTTTTTTTCTGAAAAACTATTCAAGGGAAAATTATGACATTTTCTGGAAAAAAAAGAGGAAAGTCAGGGGCGTATCATAGTAAAATTTCAAATTTTTCCAGTGAAATATAACCCCATTTAACATTTTATTTTTTTTCTGGAAAACTGTCCAGGAAAAAACTATGATATTTTTTGGAAAAAAAGAGGAAAGTCAGGGGCGTATCATAGTAAAATTTCATATTTTTCAAATGGAAAATAACCCTATTGCAAATCAATGAAAATCAACTAAATTAGGCATAAATGCACCATCTAAAATTTAATTTTTTTTCTGGAAAACTATCCAAAGGAAAATAATGAAATTTTCTAGACAAAACGAGAAAAGTCAGGAGCGTATCATAGTAAAATTTCAAATTTTTCCAGTGAAAAATAACCCCATTGGAAATTAATGAAAATCTACTAAATTAGGCATAAATGCACCATCTCACATTTAATTTTTTTTTTGGAAAATTATCCAAAGGAAAATTATGACATTTTCTGGAAAAAAAGAAGAAAATCAGGGGCGTATCATAGTAAAATTTCAAATTTTTCCAGTGGAAAATAACACCATAAACATTTTTTTTTTCTGGAAAACTATTTAGGGGAAAATTATGACATTTTCTGGAAAAAAAAGAGGAAAGTCAGGGGCGTATCATGGTAAAATTTTAAAAAATTTCCAGTGGAAAATAACCCCATTGGAAATTATTGAAAATCTACTAAATTAGGCATAAATGAACCATCTAATATTTAATTTTTTTTCTGGAAAACTATTCAAAGGAAAATAATGAAATTTTTTGGACAAAACGAGAAAAGTCAGGAGCGTATCATAGTAAAATTTCAAGTTATTCCAGTGAAAAATAACTCCTTTGGAAATTAATGAAAATCCACTAAATTAAGCACAAATGCACCATCTGACATCTTATTTTTTTTTCTGGAAAACTATCCAAGGGAAAATTATGACATTTTCTGGAAAAAAAGAGGAAAGTCAGGGGCGTATCACAGTAAAATTTCAAATTTTGCCAGTGGAAAATAATCCCATTGGAAATTAATGAAAATCAACTAAATTAGGCATAAATGCACCATCTAACATTTTATTTTTTTTCTGGAAAACTATTCAGGGGAAAATTATGACATTTTCTGGAAAAAAAGAAGAAAAGTCAGGGGCGTATCATGGTAAAATTTCAAATTTTTCCAGTGGAAAATAACCCCATTGGAAATTAATGAAAATCGATTAAATTAGGCATAAATGCACCATCTAATATTTTATTTTTTTTCTGAAAAAAAGAAGAAAATCAGGGGCGTATCATAGTAAAATTTCAAATTTTTCAAATGGAAAATAACCCTATTGCAAATCAATGAAAATCAACTAAATTAGGCATAAATGCACCATCTAACATTTAATTTTTTTTCTGGAAAACTATTCAAGGGAAAATTATGACATTTTCTGGAAAAAAAAAGAGGAGAGTCAGGGGTGTATCATAGTAAAATTTCAAATTTTTCCAGTGGAAAATAACCCCATTGGAAATTAATGAAAATCTACTAAATTAGGCATAAATGCACCATCTAAAATTTAATTATAGTACGGCTGGCAACACTGCTTACTGCGTTCACTGTTCTCACTCGTGGTTATTTTCAATTCAAACGAATGCCTTTTGGGCTAACCAATGCCCCTGCAGTATAGCAGCGATTAATTGACCGTGTTATTGGTGTGGAAATAGAGACGTCTGTATCTGTATACCTTGATGACGTCATCATTTGCACCTTTACGTTTGAGGAACACATTAACATTCTCCGTGAAGTTATTACTTGTCTCACCCGTGCTGGACTGACACTCAAATGTATTTTCTGTAAGCCGAAATTGAAATACCTCGGATATATTGTTAACTCTTCTGGTCTTTTTGTTGACCCCGAGAAGATAGAAGCAATTTTGTAAAATCAATGGAAATGAACACACAATGCATGTCACTGATCCATCATTTAATGGATACAAACTGTGGTATTCTTACTCCCCAGTTACCAAACTTTCCGTATGTACTAACCCAACCTACAAACCACAAATAACAAACTACCAACTGTTCTTAGCATCTTCCTAAATTCCAATACAAGAATTTCACAATTATTTCTAGTTTTTTTTAAATATTCTTCTCAATTTATTATACTTCTGTTTATTGAAAATTGCATCCTACTTTGACAAATTCTTACCCAGGTGTAATGCAATCGTCCCCGCTAGAGCACTCGCCGCTAAAAAACCAATTTTTCGGATAATTATAAGCCAACTGTTCCATAAATATGCCCATAATCCGTCCAACAATTGCGCCTAAACATAACGACGGGATGAACAGTCCACAAGGAACTTTAATGCCAAAAGTGAACACAGTCATAATCATTTTTAACACTAGGGCTACTATTAGAAGCCAGATGGCGTTGTAAACACCTGGGCCTGCAGCTGCTAAGTCTATTGCAGATTTAACATCTGTGAAATTTCTATTGTAATCACTAAAAAAAACAATTTTAATTATTGCTATTTGAGTAGCATATACTTTACCAAATAGGATCCGAATTGGCAATTCCACATTGACTAAACAACAAATAAATCAGCTGACTAGTGTTCATTCTGGTATAAGGATTGGGAAAAGCTATTAGAGCCGTTAAAGCGGTGACTACCAAAACCTCAGTGACTGGATACTGGCCTAACTTGGAATATTTCCTAAAGCGACACCAATATAAGTTGGCTTTAATGAATATTGTTGCAATAACTCCCTAAAATGCAAGATTGTTTTAAAAAATATTTTATTAAAATTATTTAAGTGACTCACTCCAATAATCCCTAGTAAAATGAATGGAACCAGTTCAATGAACATCCAAGGTTTATTGTATTCGACGTAAAATAAAACAGAATGTTCGTTTCCGAAAGGATTGATGGATCGGAGTATAAAGGCTGCTATGAGAGCACAAAAAAACGACCTCCATAAGGTTTTCAAGGGGAAATAGTAGCTAACCTGTAACAACAAAAGTTTGTAGTGTCACTTATAAAAGAATTTATACTTTGTCCAACAAGCCTACATACGGAGTAAACATTTATTTCAAAATTGAACTTCTTGAATGGTACATTGTACTTTTACTCCATTGGTTGGTTGGACAGAGTTTACAATTAATTACCTCTTCTAAACTAAAAAGTACACCGCCAATAGGTGCGCCAAAAGCTACCGACACACCAGCAGCCGCAGAAGCAGAAAGTATCTCTCTCTTTTTAGCTTCATTTCTGCCGTATTTTGGAAAAAGATAGGACAAAATATTGCCAATAGCGCAAGCAATATGCACCATGGGTCCTTCTTTGCCCAAACTCAATCCAGATGATACGGACAATATTAAACCAACACACTTGATAAGCAAAGTCCACTTGCCCAAGTAGCCTCTTATAATAAAGCCGCTCAGAATTGTTTTAATCTAAAAACAAATTATGTATATTATAATCTAGACACATTAAACTAAAATTCTTACCTCAGGTATACCAGATCCACAAGCGTAAGGAGCAAACATCCTCACTAAAGAAGCAGATAAGGCGGCAAATAACAAAGCCCAAAGAGCGAATATTAAATAAGAAATAATATAAGGTCCTGCTCCAGATTTGGCCTGTCCTAAAACCTCAGGCCAAGTCAACCACTGAGAACAGTTTCCTGTTTCAAAGCTTGTCTCATTTGACCAGCAACACTGTTCACGGTTCAGCCAAAAAGCTTGAGGGCAAATGCCGAATTTAAGATCGGTCATCCAGCTGGCGCCGATGTCTATTACTCCTGCTACGGTTCCAGTGCAAAGGCCTACTAGTAGAACACATAGCCAGCCTGACCAAGCATCGTGAGCTCCCTCTATGAGATTCCAAAAGGAGTCTTGCTTTTTTTTGACTATGTGTCGGTGGCGCATGCGGTCTCTGGCGATGTCGCGTTGCCAGTCGATGGTGTGGAAATCGTCGTACTGGCCGATGCCTGGGATATCGGCTCCGGTGTCTGATGTACCTCCATAGGATACAGAATCTAGAGGAATAGGAATTGTTAAAGTTGCTGGGTTATAAATGACCTCTGATCGTAGATAGATGGAGTATTTGTAGTAGATCAGCAAAGGTAAACAGTGGGAGATATTAGAGCCAAATATGAAATATTTAGGCCAAAACACAAATGGTATTCTGAGTAATGGAGCTGATATTGACTTAGAAATGTCATATTGAATTGTTGCTCTATACTCTGTTTATCTGTGATTTATCTATTCATTTATCTCAAGCATACATTACAGAATATTATATTCTAAATGGTAAACATAGTGTTACGACGTTACTTAAATTTCTTGGGGTTGAATGTGTGCTTACGGTATAATTTGATATTAATTACCCCACTTGACTATATTTCGATACGCGATATTCCGAAATCACCGCACGCTGTACTCAATAACAAGCTTCCGCGTCAGAGCGGGGAACACCAGCTGTGACAATAAAACCGCGGCACGGTTATAGGAAGCAGACGGGACACCGCTGTCTCACCTTACTATTTCAAGTGCAGCAGAGTGACCATCACCAGGTACCGTTTCTACCGACGCTGACGCCGCTTCCACGTCATCACGCCGGATTCAGATGTATAGGTTAGTGGTTGCTTTAAGGGTATGTCTGATACTTCCGTCTCTTTCCATGCCATGGTGACATGGTATGGAACCGATGATAGATTGCCTGCATATCATCGTTATGGATCCGTATTACGTACGATGGAATGCAGGAAATATTCAGCATTCTATATTTTACAGAGATTTGTCTATCTCTCTGCCTATTGCATCGGTATGGACCCGTACTACGTCCGGTGCGAGAGGATGAATGGGGACGAAGTCTGTGACGTCATGCCATCAGGCCTCGTGTTACAGATGGTATGATGGCGTAGATTATTAGACACTCAAGGGAAGGGGTACAGTTAATTACACCATCTCGCCATGCCAACAGGCCCTCGTATTACAGTTCGTATGACGAGGATGGCGATGCTTTCTCTCTCTCTGTTTTATTTTGTTTCTTACCTGTAAGCAATCTACTGTTCAACAATCTCAGCCGCGTATGCGTATTTTATATTTACGAATCATGTATACCAGATGGAAGCGACGCGACGATGGTTCGTTTTCTGTTCTTTGTCTCATGTTTGTGTCGTTTTATCCGTTTGCGGTCGAGAGTCTTTTACCGTCTGACGCCACTAAACCGTCCGTACACTAAATATTATACCGTATTGTTCGCAAGTAGCCCTGGGGTCGTATTTTCGAATATTCTCGCATACGAAATTTGATACGATTTCGAATGCTCCCCATTTAATTTACATTGCAGTCAACATTTCGTGTACGAAATGTACTCGAATGAATTCGAAAATACGACCCCTGGTTCCGATTACAATTTACCGTAACCGAAAGCACGCATACTTTCCCAGGTTCTCCTCTCTCACTGAAGTAGGTTCTAAAGTTTACAATATACAGGATGACTGCTGGTTAGGATTAAGAAGAACTGGTTAAGCTTATTATAAGTATATTTTGGCAAACACGAACGATGCTTTATTTTCCTTAATTGTTGGTTTTATTTTTACCCATATCGTATCTATGACCCCTGGCATACTATTTCTCCACTGTATAATGGCAACCTGCTGCAGGTGGGTCCTTTAGCACAATAATATAAAGGGTGGCGCTTGAGATAACCGTTGGACTGTAAGTCGAAAAATCCCTAAAACGTCACGATATACAAAGGAGACCTAAAATAGCGCTACAATAGATATACAGATAACATACAAAATTGAAGTAATCTCAGTTTAAGTCAAGCCCAAACATAAAAATTCTGATAAAAACAGATAGACAAAGGTACATAAAACTAGGGATGTACCGGATCGGGTATTTGGTCGATCCGGCCGGAACGGGAATTCCGGCTCCTAACCGGACCGGACCGCCGGAATTCCGGCCGGATCGACAGTTTTCTGCAATTTAATAATAATTTGAAAGGGCGCATTTTTTTTTTTACCGGCGAACCTACAGATGAGCAGTCTATCTCTTTCTAGTACATAGGAAATCAAGATGATTTACTCATAATGGAGAATAGCTCGATGGAAAAAAGGAAAGCAGCTAAAGTTTGGTTATGTTTGAGTTTGGCTGCTCCTTCAAGTAGATTGGCGCATCCCCGAGTCTATCTGGATGTCTATTTTCAAAATCGGGGAATAGCGTTCTCATGAGAACGATTACTCTGTCTTTGTTAGTGTTATGGAAATATGAATATGGGTGACGAAGACAGAAACTTCGTTCTCATGAGAATGTTTCTCCCCTGTCTCTAGAATAGGGACATCTGACTGGAACGCTTGTGCACGTAAAACTTAAACGATTTTCAGTCCAGTGTAGTTGCAGTTGTTTTGAATTCCTGTGTATCCAGCTAAGTTAAAAATGTCAAAAGTATGGAAGTTTTTTGAAATCCATACCTGAATTTAATGTTTATGTTTAAAAAAAATATTGTTATGGTTTACAATTTTAATTTTAATAAAGTTCTAAGTATTCTTCTTGCTTTCCGCTTATAAATTTATTATTTAACCTATTTTAAAATTTTCGAAAATTCCGGCCGGAACGGTAGTTCCGGGCTATAGGCCGGATCGGCCGGATTTAGTGGTACCGCCGGAATTCCGGTACATCCCTACATAAAACGAAACATGAATAGGAGTCACGGTGAAAATTACATAAATATTATCATCTTCCTGATTTGTCGCAGGGAGTAGTTAAAAATATCACAGTCGCAGTAGAAACGGTTGTAGTTAACCACCAATCTGTCGATGAAAGCAGTTTGGCCATAGTTGGTACGATGTTGGCCTGCATAAAACAGTTTATGTTGCCCGGTGCGTCTTAAACCTTTCAGGACGGCAGTATTTTCACTTGTTTTGGCGTGTTGATGGCAGTTTTTTGCATGCCTGATGGACGGGTGTCAATCTGCCTGCATTATTTTTGAGCAATGCATTAATATGGGGTACCTCACGTTGATCCAATCCTCAATAACTATTATCGTAATCATTTTGCACTCTAACCCGCTATTTTGAAGGCTCTGGCGTAGGGTACTCACTGTACTTGCCACCCCGACGACTGTCGCATATTTCGGTCGTTCGTTGGTGTGGTAGGGATATGTGTGGCCGATTATTCAGTCAGTCGTCTGTACGGCCAATTGATTTTTCAAATTTGTCTGAAATATATGTCATAAGTCCATGGAAAATGAATAACTCGATGTTACATAGGTATATCGGATAGCCGTCTGTGTGCCAAAGGACCTCGCACACCTTACATGAGATTTTGGCGATAGGTCAATTTTTTTCAAATTTTGATATGTTGTAGAGGATTTAATTCTTAACAACCTTTAAATGGGACGAAATCTTGTAGGTATTACGGTATTTTGAACCCTTTCAAGTATGATGCTTTTGTGGATAATGTATTTGGGGGTTGAAATAGTTGACTAGTTGAGCAGTATTCTAATCTGCTACGGACAAGTGAGTAATACAGACATCATACTGCTTTGGTATTATATATTTGGAATTATTACCACCATGTGAATTGTGCGATTCCACTAGATGCCCTCACTAAATGGATTCGGTACATACGTCATCAGCACGAACCGAGAAAAGCCAAATATCCTAGTCACATTTGCGGTAGTATGGCTCGTGCGGCTCCGGATGGTTTGCGATACCTCATTGAAGTCAATGAAAACAATATTTTGCTACGGGACCTGTGCTCGGTGCGACTAGTTTGGCTTCGGCAAGTGTGCGCTTACCTAAACAGTAGAGGTTCCAAGTGAAATCCTTGAGGGACATCAGAGGTAACCATTACTTCACTGACTAGTGACTGAATAGTGTACCACCCACATCAACTCGCTACCGGTGATTACCAAAGTAAGATTGGATCCAGCTGCGATATTTCCCAATTATCCCAATTTCTGATTTATTTTTGAGGAGGAACTGATGGTGAACGCTGTCAAAGGCCTTGGATAAGTTGGTATAAATAGAATCTACTTGATGCTCCTGTTCAACTGAGGTGACTAAAAAGTTCTGGGAGACTGCAAAAGTTGGTTGTGATAGAACGTCCTCGGTAAAAGCCATGCTGGACAGAGTTAATGTATCTATTGTAAGTCGTAAATATTCCGTCAGTAAGAATAGATTCGAGGAGTTTAGAAATAACAGATAGGATAGAAATACCACGATAGTTTTCGATGTCACACTTGTCTCACGACTTGAAAATGGGCAGTGGAAAAGAAAATTGACGCAGTGGTGAAGCAAGAGAAGTTGTACAATTTTCGAGCATGACAGCTAGGACACCATTGGGGCCTGCTTTATTTGATGTGTCGAGCTTCTTCGGTTTTTCACATATTTTTTCAGTAGTGAAATTGTTTATAGAGAAAACACCAGCAAACCCCACTGGGTCCAGGGCCTATTTTTGATTCAGTTGGGCCCCAAGGCCCAAGCGAAACTTTGGGCCCCCAGTATTCTATAATGATGATACAGCGATAAGACCAACAGAACCGACATCCGATAGCCGGTAACTATTTTGACATTTGGTTGATCAGATTCCAGGAAACCAACGTCCAAATGTAACCACTTTTCCAGGAACCGAAGTAATTTGATTACTTTCGGTCCGCGGAACCACAACCCACACAAAAGGACATACTAGAATACCTACTGGAATACTGGACATACTGGAATATACGATATACGCTTTTTTTTTAATTGAAATGATATATATATTTTTTTTCAAGCCTTTTTCGGGGACCCACTTTCCACCGGGCCTTATGGTAAAATAGGCCCTGACTGGGTCCCTCCGACTCAAATCTAAAATAGGTACATTCGTATATTCTGATTAAAAATGAGATGCAAATGCCTCAGCCATTATCTTCAGGCTTGGTCACTGTTTTCCTGTTATATTGCATTTGAGCCGGAAAGCTTGAATCCCTTTTGAGATTGTTGATAAATGACCAAAAGTGGTTGATATTTTCGGGAATTAAGTTCTC